AACAAAATTAGGTGTGGTACTGGAAGAAGTGCCTCTGCCCTGTATCAGTGGCGATGGAAATAGTCCTCTTGTTGTGATTGTGATGGTTTTATGATAATTATCAACATATTATGCAAGATTACCTACAACATGCGTTCTCTGTTTCCTAGAAGATGTGCTTGAAGCAACAACAGAGGCAATCATCTGGATAGCTGAATTGGACATCCAGTTATGAGGTCACTGCCATATCCCCACAGAAGTTTTACTTATAATTACATGGACTGTCTATATACTGCGTGTTTACTTCTCTTCTGTCATGTTCTCATCATGTGCTAATAATAGTCTCATCTGAAACTAATAATAGTCTCATCTAAACAAGTAGAACTTGTTTCAATTGTCACATTCAAATTACAATGTGGTAGCCATATTTTACAGATTAACAGAATTGGAAGCAACCTTGTAGGTCATCTAGTCCAACCTCCCACCCAAGCAGAAGACCTTACACCATTTCTGACAAATGGCATTCCAATCTCTTCTTGAAAGTTTCCAGTGATGAATGTCCCACAACTCCTGAAGGCAAGCTGTTCCATTGGTTGATTGTTCTCACTGCCAGAAAATTTCTCCTTACTTCTAAGTTGAATCTCTCCTTGATCAGCTTCCATCCATTATTCCTTGTCTGGCCTTCAGGTGCCTTGGAAAATAGCTTGACCCCTCTTCTCTCTGGCATCCCCTCAAATACTGGAACATTACTATCATGTCTCCCCTGGTCCTTCTCTTCACTAAACTAGCCATACCGAGTACTTGCCAAGTACTCTTCACTAAACTAGCCATACCAAGTTCATTGTATGTTTTAGCTTCCAGTCCCCTAATCATCTTGGTTGCTCTTCTCTGCACTTTTTCTAGAGTCTCAACATCATTTTTCTAGTGTGGTAACCAAAACTGAATGCAGTATTCTAGGTGTGGTCTTACTAAGGCTTTATAGAATGGTATTAGTACCTCACTTGAGCTTGATTGTTCTGTTAATGCAATTTAGGATTGCATTGGCTTTTTTGGCTGCTGCCACACACTGCTGGCTCATATTTAACTGGTTGTCCATGGGTTTTCTGGGGCTGTGGTTAAGATTTGGGGCAAATGTGACTCATGGCTGAGGATTATCTCTGTTTTTTTCATCCATTGTCATTTAGAGCACAGTTGATGCAAAGAGAAATAAGGCAGATGAAAAGTTAGAACTTTCAATATGTTTACTGGCACAGGATAAGAACTGGTTACTCTATCTTATTTATGGAGATCCTCAGTCATACAGGTCATAGTTGTCCCAAAAGTGCTTTTTCAACAGGCAATTGGACTTTTTTGTTTTTCTTTTAAGACGTTTAGCTTCTCATCCGAGAAGCTTCTTCAGCACTGACTGGATGGTGAGGAATGGAAGGATTCTTGAATGAGAAGCAAAACATCTTCAAGTGAAAAAAAAATGAAGTCCAGTTGCCTTTTGAAAAGCACTTTGGGTTCCTGTGTCTTCTTTTGCAAATGTTTAGAAATGTGGTGGGTGGCCACGTCTCAAAAACATTTGGTAACATTAGTATTCTTCAACAGATAAATGCTGATTTACACACCTTTAAAATGAATTATATGTAAGGCTACTTATTACATTTGAAAAACATATTTTCTAGCAAAGCTAGACTTACAGCTTTCCAACTCTAAAGAACAATTCTGAGTGTCAAGTGGGAATCTACTGAAGTCCATGAAACACATGGCAGAAACTGTTATCCTGTCAAAAGCAAAGAATAGACAATCTCAATAATTATAAAATGATTCACAATATATGAAGTGCTTAAATATGAAATATTTCAGTAAGCTCCTATTTTTATTTTTCAAGTTTTCCTAAAAGCACTTTTATGCCCTCACATTTTAATTCAGAGAAGTAGAATATATCAAATATGGATTTGTTGTGGTCCGCCAGCAGCCTACGGAGCTGGCAGCAGAGTCGGACAGTGAGGAGGCTGGGGAGGAACATGGGCCAGTACTGGAGTCTGGGCAAGGCTTGGACGAGGGCTGTGCGTCGGAGGCAGAGATGGGGCCCAGGCCAACTGGGAATTATGTGCTGACTCTGGAGTCTCCAGAGTCTGACAGCAGCGAGGTAGAGGAACAAGGAGAGCCTATTCCCAGTGCACGCATGTGCAGAGCTGCCAGAAGGCAAGAACAGTTAAGAAAAAAGGGGCGACTTGGGAGTAAGGCTTGGAGATGATTGGCCTCTCCCATAAGACATAAAGGTGGAGCAAAGGGACATGAGCCTTTGCAGGAAGCAACTTTGTTCATTCTGGACGGTTTAAATTCTGAAGCTCCCTTTTGACTTTGTGCTCCGTTTGGCCTTGCAAAGCTAATTGGCAATTAGGTATTTGGCAGCGTTTCAAGAGAGATAAAGGTGGATGCTTATCAGCCTTATCCCGAAAGACTGTGGCAGACTTCTGTCACACTATTCACAAATTGCTTGGGACTCATTACAGGCTGTGAATGAACATAATTCACAGTCATTGAAATAAAAGGACGGTTTTTGGGACTAAGCTTGTGATTGTTACTGTCTCAGGAAGCCTTGATCAGAACAGGACTGTCCCTTGTTTCAAGATAGCAAAAACAAAGCTACAAAGGACTTTTCAGGGGAAAATATCTAACAATGTAAAAAATCTCAATTCTCTTTCCCATTTTATCATATCCGAATCACATCAGGATAAATGGGGTGATATTCTCCAACACCATGAAACTCCCCACTGCTGCCATTTTGGAAGCAGGGATTAGAAAAAAGCAGTTAACATTATCATTATCTTTCTGCCATTGGGAGGAACCTCTGTTACCAAACTCTCCTCTCTCCTACTTCCTACTTTTTTTTTATTTTCCCAAACTAACAAAATATTGGAAAGAAAGTATGCAAAGGAGCCCAATTATCTGTCCATCAGCAGTGTAATCCATTGAACAAATCTGACATAAGAAGGAAGAAGTGGACAAAAAAAAACCGATTTCAGAAATGCACTGAATCTGGTTGGGGGCTGCAGACAAAAAAATATTCTCCCAGTACACTCCTAGAGAACAGGCACTTGGGTAGCAGCTTAAAATATAGATGACTGTTCCACTATAAACGCCTTTTCCTCCTCCCTCCAACTCTGATCCAGAGTAGAGCCTATGCAGCTCACCATAGGCTTCACAGTGAATACATTTATCTGAACATAAGACCACTATTGATAAAGGTATTGGGAAGATTCCAGAAGCCATACAGTACTCTGCATTCTTTTCCAACCTTTTTTCTTTCTTTCTTTCTTTCTTTCTTTTATTTTTCCCCTCTTTGGTTTATGACCAGAATTCTTTTCTTTACTTTGAGCTTTTCAACTGACCTTTCTAATGCAACCTTATACTGGGACATTTTTAGATCAATAGCTGGACTGATCTCCTATGGAACATACAAGGTCATCAGCAGAGCCAGAGGCCCATCTTTTGTCTGAAACTCATCCCATGAATTCTTTTCTCAAACCACAGGAAAATGATAACATTATGTTGATAAATTCTTATGTAATCAGCAGAAGCAAAATTTGTGTATTCTTAGGGAATTGGCAAAACATACTTTACTATATTTTAAGTGTTTTACACCAGACCAAGGAAATATGTTATTATCCTCCCTATTTGGCAGTGTGGATAAATTAAGATTCAGAGAATCTGGCTTATTTAATACATTATTTAATACTCTTGATGGCTAGACAGAGGGAAATTTAGACAGACATGGAAGAAACATTGCAGTGAAAGTGACCTTTGGGGACTGAAAGTCACACAACACTGATGTAAATTCAGGGATAGTTGTATAGGGTCTACAAGTTATATAAATAAACCAGCCTTCCTTAAACAGACATATTCCAAACATGTTGTTGAATTGTACCATCCCTAAGAATCATGGGGAGTTATATTTCCATACATCTAGAAGGTACCAACTATGGAAAGACTAATGTATCCCACACCCACAGTAATTCTCCCATGTTGTATTTGTTCTCCTGACTGAAAGAGATCTGTGCTTACCGTAAACTGAAGAGCACATTGCCATCTGGATAAATACGTAACATAATATTCTCCATGGTTGTGTCATGGATAAAAGATCTTTTAGAATGTACAAAAAATGTGTCAGGTACCCAAATCTTTTTAATTAATCTTCCATCAAAGGTCATGCTTCTGTTTCTGGTACTAGGAAATGAGAGTCTTTCATCCTTCCAGTAATGCCTGAGATACAAAGTCATTGTGAAATCCTATATAGAAAGTTGAGGGGAAAAAATACAGGTATGCATTCATGCATTTAATAATATAATCTGTAAAAGTTGTCATAGCTAACATTACTTTTCAGTAGTTAAGCCATTAATATGAATTAGTAGTTTGATTATTGGCATTAAAAGTCAAAAACTTTGGACTATGAAGAAGCATGGTTTCAAGAAATGGTGAAACTGCTTTAAGGAGCTGCAGAGAGATGCTTTGTTCACATCTCAATATACCCTGTAACATCTTTCTTTCCCTTTGAATCCAAATGATTGTACAGCACCCTAGTTTATTCACAGAATACTTCAGTATGATGGAATATTGTTTCATACAACATAACCAATATTTCCACAGTACAGGTTGCATATGTTAAATGGTAAATTTATTATTCAATATTTCAATAGATTTAAAATTACAAAGCATTTAGGAAAAATTGGTTTCTCTGTATTGAACACCTATAAATCTTTATAAAAATGAATTAGAGGGTTGAGCTAATTTTTGGAATGGATGCTATATCAGAGTTAAATTTTAGCTTCCTTTTGGATTCAAAAATTCATCTTAATTTGCCTATTAATATTCGCAGATTTTTGTAGACCTTTATGTTCATGGACGGCTACAGGGATAAGTGTGATGAATCAAACTCTATAACTTGTGTAATTGCATCAGATCTCATAATACAAGTATATAAGGGCAAGATTTACATCATGACATCACAATGCAAACATCATAATGTTGACATAATCTTCATATGATGTACTTGCCTATGCTGGCATATTTTGAAAATACATGCCAAGAACTTCAAGATTAATGGGAGAATACCTCAATGGAGCCCAAATTTCCAAGACAGGTTAGTTGTGCCCCATTTTATGACCTTTTGCTACAGTTGTTAAATGAATCACTGCAATAGTAAAATGAATCATGCAGTTGCTAAGTAAATCTGGCTTCCCCCATTGATTATGCTTACCAGAAGCCATCTTGGAAAGTTACAAATTTTGACCACATGACTATGGGACAGCACAACTGTCATAAATCCCTGCCAGTTGCCAAGTCCCCAAATTCTGATCACAAGACTACGGGGATGCTGCAATAATCGTACAATAAGTCTGGAAACTGGTCATAAATTACTTTTTTTCAGTGCAATTGTAACTTTGAACAGTCACTAGACAATTGGTTGTAAGTCAAGGACCACCTGTATTGGAAATGGGCATTACAAGTTTTAATGGTCACAAAAATTCAATATTATAAAGCTGAAAGGACATTCTCTGCCAGTTATACAATAACGTAAATAAGTCACCTTTCTTTTTTTTGATAGGACTATTTAGAAATTCTTTCTGCCTTGATTTATACACTTAATTTCCTTTTTGCATTAATGTTGTGAAAATAGTGATAATTTAAATGTAGATTATTATATGAACAAATGGGTTTTTATTATGTTTATGATATAAAAGATGTTTGCTTTTATAAGATATTTCTCAGTTTCTCAGATGGGAAAGAGAATAATTACTTGTATAAAAAATAGTCACTTGTTTAGTGAATGACATACAATTATTTGAAGATTCCCCATTGCCCTCATTTTTCCCCGTATTTCCTATCATCAAATTGCTAATTATTTCACCTGCATTTCTATATTACATTTTCAGCAACTGCAGAAAAACTTACCATGTCAACTTCTGAAATTTTGTCAATGCTTTCTACTTGCACATCAATACCAACTGGGATTGGTGATCCTTTAACATACAGAGAACAAACAGCAGCAATAAAAGAGTCCAAGAACATTTTAAGTTTAACCACAGCTTAAATAGAGACTTTACTGTTGCTTTGAAGTTCTTTTAGAAGCAACTGTGTGAACATTTTTTCCAAACAAAAGAGAGCCTTCTGATCATATACAGCAGTTGGCAGCAACCTAAGATCCATGGGAACTATCAGTGGTACTGGATATAACTTGTATACACATTTGGTCACCTGTTTCTCCTTACTCCTTCAAAGGTTGGTGATTACAGGGCACCCGCTAGTTGGTATTTCTTTAAATACGCTCATGTAAAGTTATGAATTCTTGGGAATTTAAAATGTTGGATGCTTCATCTCAAAATATAATAGGTCTACAAGAACCAAGTGGGCAAGTATATACGGGAGAAGGCAACAGGTTTGGAAATATAATGTGCTACAAGTAGTCCTCGACGTACAACAGGGGTGAAATCCAGCAGGTTCTGACAGGTTCTGGAGAACCGGTAGCGGAAATTTTGAGTAGTTCGGACAACCGGCAAATACCACCTCTGACTGGTCCCAGAGTGGGGTGGGAATGGAGATTTTGCAGTATCCTTCCCCTGCCACGCCCACCAAGCCACGCCCACAGAACAGGCAGTAAAAAAAATTGAATTTCACCACTGACGTACAACCATTCATTTAGTGACCATTCGAAGTTACAACAGCACTGAAAAAATGGACATAGGTCCATTTTTCACACTTGCAACCATTGCAGCATTCTCCTGGTTATACGATCAAAATTTGGACGCTTGACAACTGGTTCATATTTATGACAGCTGCAGTGTCCTGGGATCACCTTTTGTGACCTTCTGATAGCAAAATCAATGGGGAAACCAGATTCACTTAACAACCATGTTAACAACTGCAGGGATTTGCTTAACAACCGTGGCAAAAAGGTTGTAAAATGGGGCAAATCTCACTTAACAATTGTCTTGCTTACCAAATTTTGTGCCCAGTTGTGGTCATAAGTTGAGGACTATCTGTATTCCCCCCTTCATTTTGCTGCCATTAATAGGAAAAAAAGAGCTAAAGGATTTATTGCTGGTCAGCTTTTAGATTGGCCAATTGAGAAAAGAGGATCCTGTATTAGAAGACATGTGGCCTTTCCCACAATGCATTCTTAATGCTTCTGGGATGCAAAAATAATTCCATGGAAATTATATGGTACTTACACAGGAATGTGCCACACATTTTGGGATAGGCATTGTAGCACTGTATTGTAAGTCTATAAAAGGCCAGTGTATTTCATAACTGACCTTAAGAATTCATGACTTGGAGGTCAAATATATACTGTAGTTAGTGTATGTCTTTTTCATTCAGCTTGTGAAAATTAGGAAACTGTTAAGTAGTTTAAAGCTTTTCATTCCCTTATATAAAAAATTCTTACATCAGATCTTTCTAATCATCAGGATAAATTCTCTCCTTTCTTGTGTCTAGCTCACAGGTCCCCAACCCCGGCCTGTGGACCTGCAGCGAGCCACGGCATGCCAGAAACTGGCCCTGCAAACAAGTGAAGCCCCATCTGTGGGATGCAGACAGCACACGAAACCACGCCCCTTCTGGTCCACAGAAAAAACTCTCTCCGCAGATCTGGCCCCTGGTGCCCAAAAGGTTGGGAGCCGCTAGTCTGGTTGAATGAAAGTTAACGCATAAAAGCAATTTTGTTTTAAAAAAATAGACTCGTTTTAAAAGTTCTCCATTAAAATACTGTATAAAATATTTATAAATAATGTTTGAAGCTTCCAAATAAACAGGCAGCTTTCCCCCTGCTTTCTATATTTAAAGCCTCCTAATAAAATTCAGTATGTTGTTACATAACCTTTCATATTAGGTCATATGCAGGTTGTAATTTTTCTTTAGTCACAACCATTTTGGGACTGTGGAATTGGAAGACAATTATTGGTTAACAGGATATTATTTCTGTAACTGAGGCATGCTACCACATAAATATGCATGCATTTAGCCTTGATTCTGCTGATGTTAAAGTAAATCATAGAACTACTATGTTACATTTGTACAACAGTAAAAATCGTTTTTCTTATTAGCTCAGCTAACATCATATAATGAGTGTTTAAGTCTAGGATATATATTTCTCCCTTCTTGGTGCAGTAGATGACTTAATTTCTTCTAGATGTTGTGATGGGATGTTTCAAACTACTGTACATAATGAGAGCTTCTTCAAAGCATTTGGAAGACTTAAAACTAAGCAAACATGTTGTCACCATCCACTTTCTGGAAAACCCATCACAAATGAAGTAGGTGACCTACCTGAAGTTTGATAAACCCCTCATGGTACTTTGGTGGATTTACTGTACCTAATGGTGGAAGGCAAGAGGACATTGACACTAACCCTGATATGCTTGAGCAGAGGTTTGGACTAGAAGACTTCCAAGATCCCTTCCAACTCTGTTATTATGTTAAGTGTTCTTGAAATAGCATTTTTATTAAATTGCAACAATTCTGTTTAGAATTAGTGCATAGAATAGAGAGCAGATTCCAGAATAGCCATTTTCCAACTAAATCACTAGAGATTCATTTGGGTGCATTAAAAGATAATAAGTCATTATTAAAAGTATTTCTCTCACCTTTAAAAATATATTTAGGCTCACTGTAGTTGAGATGTACAACCAGTTATGAATCTACTGAAGAAAACAAATATTTTATCTATATACCACCCAGAGTCTCTCTGTGAGGGAGATGGCAGTTTCAAAATAAATAAAGAAACTCAAATAAATTGAAAATAATAATTGAAAAAAATCAGGAGAAATAATGAACAGAGCAGAACAGAACAGAACAGAAACAGCTATTTTTACCTCCAAAGCCAGGTCTCATGGCAAAATCATGGTTCTCTATGTGGAGAAATTGTTCTGATTTCATAGGTGGTACTTTAGTGCGGTCTAGTTTCCTTGCCTTAAATTGTTGTTTGCTGCATTATAAACAAACAAACAAACAAACAAAATTCCTATACATCCCCCACAAATTATTAGATCACTCTAGTTTCTTGTATAAAGAAAATAAGTCAACATTTACTGTCAGATAGTCAAAAGATTCTAACTATCCAAGCAAAACATGGAGAGATAATCCAATTCTAGTTTTAGTTCAAGCCACATATTAATGCCCAAATAAGCCCAGCTTTGAGTGAAGTCCTCAATTTATGAAGACAATTGGAACCAGAATTTCCTTTGCCAATGATCATTAGGTGAGGCAACTTCCTGCCAAATTCCCACAACCACTGGGGAGGCTGACAAGAACTTGCAAGTCACAGGCAACTCACAATCAGGCCAGTAAGAAGGTAAGTTGTTGCTGTTGGGTGGGTGATTTGAGGAGGTATATGAGAGAGGCATGGCAAGGATTTCAAATATGTGGCATACTTGAGGCATGTGAGGGTGCAAGAAAAGTGCGGCAAGGTTGCAGGAGGATGTGCAAATAGCAATAGCACTTTGACTTATATACTGCCCTATAGTGCTTTACAGCACTCTCTGGGTAGTTTAAAATGTCTGCCTATTGCCCCCAACAACCTGGGTTCTCATTTTCCCGACCTTGGAAAGATGGAAGGCTGAGTCAAACTTGAGCCCCCATCAGGATCAAACTCCAGGCTGTTGGCAGAGTTAGCCTGCAATATCGAATTCTAACCACTGTGCCACTAGGGCTCCTAAGGTGCATAAAGGGTGTGAGGGAGGCATGATGAGGCTTATGTCATGGTTCCAAGTAACATCCCCAATGAAAGAAGACTCCGAGGCGTGAAGTTCCTCAAAGTTCCATTTTATTAGAGATGTCATATTGGTACATCTGGGAAAACCTGAATCTGAAAGCTTCCAGGTTTTCCCCACCCAAAAGAAAGTCCAAGTCCATGCCCAGCACCCACATGTCTATCACATGGTCCAATGAAAGCACCATCCCAACTGGAGATGTCTCCCAGGTACACCCCACCAGGTGCAGAACAAGATGTCCTTGATTCCCTGAGAAAGGAATGTTATTGTGACTATATATATATATATATCACCCCGGCTCCATACAATCGCCCGTCCCAGTTTCCCACAGCAGTAAATGTGGCAGTCCTGAAGGCCTAATGGAAAAGATGGCTTCCAGGCCTGACAGCTTGGGGAGAGTACGCAAGGGCACACAGATAGTTGGCAAGAACTGAAGGAAGATGCATGGGTAGGGGAAGCTTACCTAAGCAACTTGCAACTTCCCTGCCAGCTTTCCCATTGACTTTCTGGCAATCATGATTATGGGGCACTGCAACCAGTTGTAAGTGTGAGGGATGAGCACAACTCTGTGGACCAGTCATAAGCACTAGTTCTTCAGTGCCATCATTTATTTATTATTTATTTATTAGTTCAATTTATATGCCGCCCTTCTCTGGAGACTCAGGGCGGCTTTCAATGCGTTAAGCAATAGCCTTCATACTTTTGTATATACCTGCTTAGTAGGGCTTTTGGTCCCCCCTAAGCGGTGTTCTTTTTATACAAAGTCAGCTTATTGCCCCCACAATCCGGGTCCTCGTTTTACCTACCTCAGAAGGATGGAAGGCTGAGTCAACCTTGAGCCCGATGAGATTCGAACTTGCAGTAATTGCAGTTAACAGCACTTTAGTCTGCTGCGCCACCAAGGCTCTTATAGGTGGTACTTTGAATGGTGGCTAAATGAATAGTCAAAAGATGAGGACTACCTCCCCTTTGTCAAGTACATTCCATTTAATCCTTACAGCTCTCCAGGCCCCCATTCACTTTCTGTCCCAGCTGCTAAAACATGCTTCTTTTCTTTTCCTAACACCTGCCCAGAGTACTGCAAGATATCTTTCTCTTTTCTTTTTCTTTTCCCTTTCATTTTTAATTTGTAATATAAAAACATTGCTACTTTAGTTGTTGTTGTTTTTTAAGATGAATGATCACTTCTTCCTTGCTACAAAATTTCTTTTGACTTACAGAGGACTGTAGGAACAGTAGGACCACCTGTTTCCTGTTATTTTGTTAGTGGCCTGAAATTAGCTTAAGAAACAGCGGGAAGCAGCATGGGAAACAAGCAGTTTAGGCTTGTGAGGATTGTCAGTGAGGATTGCCTTAGAGCAGGGGTCTCCAACCTTGGCAACTTTAAGACTTGTGGACTTGAACTCTTTGCTGGCTGAGGAACTCTGGGAGTTGAAGTCCACAAGTCTTAAAGTTGCCAAGGTTGGAGACCCCTGCCATAGAGAGCTTGGAATTCAGGAAGTTAAAAGCCACACATTTTAAGATTGTGAAGGTTCAGGAACACTGCCTTAGAGAAAGAAGGAAGAAGAGCAGGTGACATCAACAACAACCACTGGGACAGCTGAATAAACAGATTCAGACTGAGCAACTGTTTGCACATTTACTGTACCGCACACAAATTTTATGCCAATCTTTTTCATTTTTTTGTCATTGTCATTTTAGTATAATTTTCTCATGCTCTCAGTGTCATGGTATTTTTAATCTTATTCATGTCTCTTTGAATCACTGCAGTTATTTAAAACAGTGAAACTGTGTTTTGAAACCAAGGTTCCAAGTTATGGTTTCATATATGGACTTGGTAGGAAAACGTTTATTATAGCAAGGCAAAATGTCTAATAATCTTATATTACATTTTTTAAAAAAAGATTGTAGAAAGTCAGGTCTTTCTAAGAATCTCTCTGATCCTTTTTTAATCCAGTTAAGAACATTCAGATGATCTATACTGATGTGGCTGTTTTCAGTCTATGAAATGGAAAATATACAACAAACAAGGATTAAAACAAGTAGTTAAATAGTTTCTGAATTAGGTTGTATCATAGAAATTGGATTTGTAACAAAGCTTTTTGCTCCTTTTAATGGAGGCTAAATCCATGGAAGAGTTAATTTGTATTTAGATAAAAGGATACTAAAATGTATGTATGTATGTATGTATGTATGTATGTATGTATGTATGTATGTATGTATGTATGTATGTTTCCTTTAACTGTAATTAATTCCATCCATAATTGGCTTATTTTTCTTGAGAAAGCTGGTATGGTTACTCTCCAAAGTATCAGTTGCACTGAATTAATTTATAACAGCAACTCACTGGACAATTGTTGTTGGTTTTATTTCAGTATCATAAAAAAATAGCATCACCTTTGAACTAAGTTTGGTTCCTTGTTAATTCAGAGTACTATCCATGTAGTTTTTTTGGCAACAGTGCAACAGTGACTTCATATTGCCCTCTTCTAGTGTGTTGATCCATATTTCCTACTGAAGACTACAGCATTAGCAATTTTCTATCTAGATATGTTCCAGGTCCAATCCCATTGCATTTCCAAGTGCAAATAAGGTCAATCATACTGTTGCCATTCCATGAGACTCTATTTATAGACTAGCTGGATAAATAATAATTTCAACATAAAAATAACAGTGGCATTAGCTCTCCGTCTCTTTTCTCTATTTTTTTCATATGTCACATAGTGACCAATCCATTGGTCAGACCTCCATTTTCCATAACTAATGTGGAGTCCTGGGTAGATTCTGGGAATCAAGAGTATCCACAGGTGTGGTAGGCAAAATGAAGATGGCAATCATGAGTTCTTTATGGCTGTCACACATACATGGAGCTTCAATTGCACTATCATGCTGCAATCTTGCCTTTCTTTTTGCCACACTCTGCAAATTCCCTTGCTTGGAATTTTACTCATAATCTCCTGTTCCAGGCTTTGGAAACTTGCTGCAGAAGAAAATGAGATCTTCTCATTT